GTGATTAATCCTTTTGTTTTTTGTCTTTAACTTTATCAATAAAACAGCTGCAGCTTTCACTACAGCACATGTGGTACTTTAACTTTTGTACTGTTTTCATCAGTTCATTTTGCAGTTAACATGCGAACATGTTGGATGATCTGTCTGCTGTCACTGGGTGGTGCTGAGGTCTGAATCTGAGGGCAGCCCCTGTAGTCACAAAGAGAACAGAACCATAACAAACTCAAATATAAATTTTATCCCTCAAATCTGAAATAAAGCTGATCCTTCTCTGTCCCACACTCAGGATCTGAAGCTCTTCTCTTACATTTTTTTCAGTTCTACAGTTTAATCCATAGTTACTGATTAATGAGGAGTTACTGAAGTACAACCTTAAAAAATTGTGTTATTGTCTTTACACATGTGGAGACTGAAAACATACTGTTGTTTGCACATATTTGATAATCAGCTCTGTACAGGAGCTGAAGCAGAGTGCAGCCTGTTGCTTTTACAGTATAATACTTGTATTGTACTTGTATATATCTCTTGATTTCTTTAGTCGGTGTAAATGCACGGGTTAGCTAAATGAACTTTACAAAACAAGTTTCCCCACAGTTTCCCAACAGCCGAGCGCTCATCTTAGCTAGCTAGGTCTCAGAACCGAGCTAAGGACGGTAGTTACGGATTAGCTTACAAATATGTTTAACTTACCGAAAAAGTGCAGCAGGGCCTCGGGTCCTTCTGTTGGGTAGTCCAGTTTACTGAAGAACACCTCAGGCTATCAGGTTAAAACAGTCGGTTTTGTTTTCATAACGCACACGCTGGCCCCCCTCTCAGAGCCTACGCTCTATCTGCTATTTACGAACAGAGATACGCAAGTTTCTCTGTGACTGCAGCTGCCAGTCAAAGCTGTTATGATGACGTTACACCCCAATTTAACATCACTGCGGTAGTAATTAGAATCAGACTTATGGGAGAGGAGACCCCTTGGACATCAATCAGCCTGATGAGAACTATTGAAAACAAAAGAAAGAAAAATGTATCTGAGGAGAATTTATTTAGTTTAGTCTGACCCCAGTCCCATCCGCTAACATGGAGGAGGCGGGGTTTATGTCCTATACTGCAGCCAGACACCGGGGGGCGATTAGCCACTAGGTAACAAAAGCTCAACACTGTCTCTAGCATTCTGGAGCACTTCGGTTGTGTTTTGGAGATTTCACATTCTTCGGATTTTGTACATGCTTTGTCTCTAGCTGCCACCGTAAATATATTTTTATTTATTCACTCCACATAAAATATAATAAATAAATTATAAAATACAAAAAACAACTATTTAAATTAAAATTTTAAATATTCAAATTTTCAGCTTTTTCCTTTTAAACTAATTTAAAGTGAAAGAACACAAAACACTGCCAACCACAACACAATAAAATACAAATTAAAATATGTAAAAGAAAAAGAAGATGCACATTCTCTCTTATATAGGCCTGAGATGATTTTTTGAGAGTGTTTTCCTACTTGGAATTGCATACATAGGATTCACTGCAGGAATAAACTTTCTGAATCCTTTATCATCCACAGATACAACTAGCTGTGGATGATTACTATACCTTTCTAATGTGATTATGTTGTCTCTTGTTGTCAAAGGAGCTTGCAAAGAAAAGCGTCTGGACTTCTTTAAGTTACTTGAAGACGTTTCACCTCTCAT